AAAAACAGTGAAATAAAATTATCTAGGCGATGATATGCATGCAAATTTTTAGACTAAAGCTTGGCTAGACCCTAGGATATTTTTCTAGTACATGTCATGCATGCCTACCATGCTCTGATACCAAGATGATGTGAAACTAAATGCGATGACAAGAATTACACTTAAGAAATAAATAAATGTTATGAAATTTGCGTTCTACCCATAAAAACTAGTTTACTCAAGTAGAAGTTTTTATAAGATAGCATGAGAGATTAAGCAATAGCAATAGGTTACACTTGAGAACAGTAGAACATACGCAATAACTTCCATTGATTACTAAGTAAAGTAAATGACAAAGTTAACAAAAGCCATACGTATAAAATATAGATCCTTCACCTTAAGGTCCCTCACTCAATCTCTCGAAAGTGGAGGCTAGCGGAAGAGGATTGCAAGCACACTTAGAGATACCACTATTACACAAGTGATGCCGAGAGGACTAGTCGCCGGGGAAGAAGCGGGAGTTGGGGAAGCAGGTGGATGACCGTTGATGATCCACTTGCGTCCGGAAGTTGCTCGTCGAGGATTTTCACGAGATGGGGGGATGATCCGATTCAAATAATATTCAACGGTGTTGTCAAAACCGAATCCGACGTCAAAGAATGGTGATCGGACGACGTCGATGTCTCCTCGGGAGTCGAGTACGAATCCGTGATCAACTTCAGGATCCGCCATGCGTCCTTACCGGAAATGAAAGAGCACCAATAGGGAGAAAAGGGGAGATGAGGTGGCGGTAGGGCTTCGATGGGTCGGCTAGGATGGAAGACCCAAAGGTAATGCAGAAAATCTGAAATTCTTTCAGATTTTATTGGTTTGGGGAGGGATTTAATTTGAAAATTCAAATTAATCCAAAAGGGGATAGGGGCGGTAATGGGAGAGGGATTTGGGGCTGATTTTTTGGGGAATAGGAATTAATTTGGGAGAGAGAAGGAGCCCATGAAGGGGCCTGCCAAAATAGAGAAGAGGGAGGGGAATAGGATTTAATTAAGTGGGGCCCACATGTTTAATTAAATGATTTGAGTAAAATCTGTAGTAATTTCAGATTTTAACAAAAAGGAAAGTTTCCTTACTTGAGTGTAAACAGTCGGCAACGTTTTGAATTTCAAATTGGAATTGAAATTCAATTATGACGATTGCCTAAATTCTAGGATTTATTTTAGGAAAGTAATCAATACCTCATGAGAAATTTTGAATTTCAAATGCAAGGCCCAAGAGGGGCCGGCGACAAGGTGGGATGGCTGCAAGGGGTCGACGGGTGGGCTCTTGGCCGGCGGTGTGGTTTCAGCCGGCGGCTAGGCTGGGAGGGGCGGCAGGATGGGTTTGGTGGAGAGAATGGTGGGGAGGAAAACAAGGGGAGAGGGTCACAGATCTTGGGAGGGGGAGAAGGAAATTTAAAACCCACAAACCTCAACTCTGCATTCACAAGAACTCACAAAGAGATCTACCACACTACCTCCTCAAGAACTCACAAAGAGATCTAGAGGAAGCACCACGAACTCACAAAGAGATCAATAAGGAAAAATTTCATTCATCAACATTATCTGATACAATGCATGAGGCCTCCTATAAATAGGCCAAAATGAAATAAAAACTAAAATACATAAATGCCATCGGGGCTACAATATCAATTGACCATCCTTAAGGGTAAAACAGTAAAACTGAAAAATAAAATAAACTACTACATAAAATGACTAAAAATATAAACTCCCGATCGTGGCCGTCGATTTCCGGTGTCTCCGATGGTACACGTGTCGAAATCACTGACGATGTCCTCATCACTTATTGATCTATTTGATATCTATTCTTATTTAATGAAATGTCATATTATGCATTCATACCATTAAGTCTTTATTTGATGATGAACTTCCTTTCTAACAGGCCAGTATCAATTTGTGTAGTCAACATTCATTCAGGTTTTTTTAAAGTCTTTGTTTGCATAAGCTTAGTTATTCATGTCTTATTTTATTTTTTTTCTTGATTTTTTTTTAATTAGACACAAGAATTGTTTGCTAGTTCATCTACATGAAACATACTCTTCATTTATTTATAAGTTCTCCATGAGTTGAGACTTGTATTTGTGCTCCACTCGTCAAATTATCCTTAAGCAAGGCAGTCCTTTGTGTTATTGCATGGCTTAATTTGTTCACTGGTAATGGATTTCAGGCGATGGAGAACAATGAAGATTTGAAGCTCAAAACCCACAGAGAAAGTTGTGAGGATGGTTTAATCGTAGACAAGGTAAGTATACTTCCCATTTGCTTGAGGATAGTTCCACATGGATGTTGAAATCCTTATTTGTAATATCAGAGTAGAGATCCTGTTGCAACTTGATCTTGTTAAAAAATATGATGAATGAGACATGCAGGTGGACATTGTGATTCATAATACACCCCTCACAAAATGCTTCAAATATATGACACAAACAAATTGAACTGAGCAATTGTTATATTGTTATAGCCTCTTTTCTTTTTAATCATTTTATCCAACTCAAGGCTAATTAGAATATGACTTGAGCTTTATTTTAGCGGTCAGTTTTGTTGTTTTGTTCATCATTTTTATTGATCTAAAAAGAAATTCAAAATATTATCAATCTTGATTATATATAAATACAAAATGAAAAGTATTGCCAGATGACCTCATAATCAAGTGCAAACTTAGTTATGATTATTCATAAATTAATCTGATTTGTATGTTTGGAACTTTTCAAAATGCAAACATGAATGAAAGGGCACTAAGGAAATTTAGTCAAATAAACTTTTGATTTGCCAAGTATAAACTTTCGTGACATTAGCTTCCATTTTATGAAACTTATACTGATATTATTCTGGAACTCGTACAATGGTGTCAAAACGTTTAATATAAGATGAAATTAATTGGTAATAAATAGCTCGATAGCTCAGGTGGCAGGATTTTAGTAAAAAACTGGTTCACAAGGTTGACTTTTTTAGTTCTTATTGTGACCTAACATGTATGGCATTCCTTGCTTATTCTTGAGTTACTATGACCAATAGCTACTGGACAAAGCATCTTCTCCATAGAACTTTTGCCTATTTTTTAAATCACTCTTAAGTTATTTTACTTTAAACTTTTTTACCTTCCCCTTGCATCCACGAGTAGGCATGGATTGTTGGAGAAATTTTTTCATCTTTAAAAGATTGCATATTTTGTGATCGAGTAGGGCATAAGAAATATGATATATTACTCAGAATGATAAAAATATCATTTCCTTATGGACTCAATAACAAAAATTACAGTTTTAACAGAGATTCTCCCATTTAATATTTGATTGAATGATATATTTTTTTTATTATGGGGTATGGATGCCCCATAGGGGAAAGCACATATAGTTAATTATATATCAAGCTTTTGGTACTTGAGAATAATTTTGATTAAACTAGTGATTTTCTTTCTTTTGAAAATCATCCAAATATTGGCTAAAGTATTGATTTTAAAATTCATGAAATTCTTGTTTAAAGAGTTTTGGTCTATAGGAATTTCAAATAAAGAGGGAATAACTTGGAATCGGATTTCTTGGAATGAGAGTCAAATGAACGAAGTGGAGTACTTGATTCTAAGAGAAACTTAAGGTACTCAAACTATCCCATGTTGGGCTTTACATTTTAGAATCCAATTTTTATTTAAATTAATAATTTTAATTAGAATGTTAGGGCTTATATTCTAACAACATATATTCGAAGAAATACCCAGAAGTGATGGCTTATGTGGTGATTGAAATCAACCACAACCTCGGACCCTAAAATTAAGGTGAGGACTACTGAGGGGTTGTGCCTTGAACCTAAGTCTAACAAAGTGCTAGAGATTTACAAATTACACCTCACATGAGGCATAGCAAGCCCGACCTTTAGATTTATTGTCCTGCCTGGAAAAGGCTATCAGCTAAACCCATGTAATCGCTTTTAAAACCATGATATATGATCTCCATGCATATGAAGAGTAGGGAGGGTGCTTTTGCTTAAAGGATAGAGCTTATAACTTGATTTTTAGGTCAAGATGCCTGACCATGAGTGCTATGCAGAATGTTGATTCACAATTGCAGATTTTTTAGTTATCTAATTTTTAAGTGAAGGTTGTTCTACATGAGACTCACTGGGCTATACATGATCAATTTAAATTTTAGATTGGCTCCTTGAAGTGAGCCATACAATTTTTTTTTGTTAGAAAAATATGAAGCCTAGTTTATTTTAGATTGTTTACATTTTAATGAGTAGAAAATTTATTTTTATTCTAAGAGCCTACCACATCAAATGTCCAAGCCACACCAAGCAAAATATGGAAGAAACTTAGGAAAAATTATGTATTTCTATTGCAGAATCAGGCAAACAGATCAAAACTTGCTTGTATATATAAATCAAACAACATGATTGTAAATTATAGAGTTCAAGTTATTACAACAAAGTTTGACAGCTGAGTTGCCTGCTATTATACAACACAGTCAAATATTTATTACAAATTCTACTTGTGGGGTATTCATGTAATTATTTGAATTACACATGTGCATACATTGTATTTGTAAATCACATTTATAATGATCTAAACTTTGAAAGAGAGATGCATACAATCAAATGAGTTGAAGCTTGAGAATTTCTCATGTGTTGGTGCATTAGAAGCATGAACAAACATCTCCAATTTTAGAGATTTTTATGAGTTTGTGGTGTTTATTATATAAATACAACAAGAATGAAAGTCTAGAATTTAATATTAGGAGATTAAATGAAGGTTAGGATTTCATACGAAAAGAATCACAATTTTCTTTTATAATAGTAGTATACATAACATATATTGTCAGATAAAAATAACTAAAATCTTAATGTTAGGATTTAATATTAAGAGATCAAATCAGAACATTAAATAGATAAACAACAACAACATCTAGCCTTTATCCCATTATGTGGGGTTGACTACATGAATCTTTATTCTTCATTGTGTCTTGTTAAGAGTCAAATTCTCATTTAAATCTAATAAGGAAAGGTCATTTCTAATATTTTATAACCAAGTATTTTTAGGTCTACCTCTACCTTTCTTAACATAAGTTAAATCTAATACATCTACATATCTACTTTCCCAATCCGGACATCATAAGGTCATCATTTTATGTGGTCAAACCATCTAAGGTGACTCTCTAATCTTATCTTCCATTGGAGCTACTCCAACCTTTTCACATATATGTATTAATAGATAAAAAAATAATAAAATATTATATATTAATTCAGCAGTTGATGTCAACTAACTCCCTCGATCAGTTAAAGTAGCCAAACGCTTGGGGAAATCGAAGCTCGTGAAGAGTAACAGGAGGTCGATGCAGTTGAAATTAGATAACCAAAAAAAAGATTTTGAAGAGGGAACTAAACCATCCCAAAATAATTATTTTGAATATTAAATACTAATTCAATAGCAGACAACCATTGCACTCTCCCGAATCGGTTTATAGATAAACGACATGCTCCTCAGATGATGGCCACACTGCTAAGTACTAACTCAAATTGTTCTATTCACAGAAGAAGATTTGTGAAGAAAAAGCCCTTCAATCCGTCCTAATCCAATCCTCTTTCTCATGGACAAGAAAAATAATCCGACTACCTCAACAAATGTTAGAAGTTTCAAAAGCGCCTTAAGCATTGGTAGGGAGTTATCAAGCCTAAAAATTATAACACGAACGTCAATGAGATTTCATATTAGAAATTTAGAATAATATAAAAATTTGAAAAGATAAAGTTAAGGAGAAATAAGCTGTTAAAGAAAATTAAATTAAATACAACAACAACAACAACACCATCAAGCCTTTATCCCAATACGTGGGGTCGGCTACATGAATCATTTTTCTCCATTGTGTCCTATTAAAAGTCAAATTCTCGTTTAAATCTAATAAAGAAAGGTCATTCCTAATATTTTCTAACCAAGTCTTTTTAGGTCTACCCTACCTTTCTTAACGTAAGTCAAATCTAATACCTCTACTCTCCTAACCGGGTCATCGCAAGGCCGCCGTTTTATGTGACCAAACCATCTAAGGCGACTTTCTCTAATCTTATCTTCTACTGAAGCTACTCCAACCTTTTCACGTATATGCTCATTTCGTATCCTATCTCTAAGGGTAAAGCCACTCATCCACCTGAGCATCATCATCTCTGCCACACTTAACTTAGTATTATGCTTCTCTTTTAAAGGCCAACATTCGGCACCATAAAGCATTGCAGGCCTCACACTACCATCTTATAGAATTTTCCCTTAAGTTTGAGGGGTACATTTCTATCACATAACAAGCCCGATGCATTCCTCCACTTCAACCATCCAACTTGAAATCTG